TCATTTATTCAGCATGTGTTCATTAAGCAAGTAGTAGTGATATAATGGCATTGATAATGCTATTAACTAAAACAACTTAAACACACACACACACACACACACCCATTTATTGAGCTCTTATTATGGGCTAGAGCCACAACTAAGATATACTTATTTCATTTAATTTTTAGAAAATCCTGGAAAGTTGATTGATAATATCCCCAGTTTACCGATCAAGAGACCTGAGACTCTGAAAGTTGGAATCAGCTTGTTCAAAGTCAAAAGTTAGGAAATGGCTAAACTAATATTCAAGATATGATTTTTTTACTTCACAGACCATTCTAATAATCATTACACTAAGTAGTCTTTCTGTTATATGCAAGACAGTGTGCTAGAATCTGGGATAAAATGTGAATAAGAGATAGCTGATTAGGAGCTCATAGTCCTGTAGGGGACATGATTCAAAATGATGAAATAATGTTGACACCACACTGGTTTTTCTGCGGGCTTTGGGGGCTGCCTAAGGCAACTCCTAGGGAAGGGATCCTCAAAGAACTGATCTGAGCTGAATCTTAACAGAAGAGGAGTAGGCATGAACCAGGTGCAAAAGAGGTAGAAGTAGGAATCCATCCAGGTAGATGGGCAGCAGGTACAGGAGCAGAGGAGGTACAGTAGCCTGCTGGGAACTATTGTTCTTAGAATTCGTGGTGTAAAGCCAGGTGAGGATGGAGCTGGCAGTGGGGACCTGTCATAGAGGGAGGACTTTGAAAGGATTTTGGCCACAAGGATAATCCTGGAAGCTCTTTAGAGGAGAGATTGAAAGAGAACAAAATAAAAGACAGGGGAATAAGAGAGGAAATGAGGACATTTCAGTCAAGAAATATAGAGAATCTGATCCAGGTTGGTGGCATTAAGGATGGCACAGAGGCATTGGGTAAGAGAAATATTTAAGAAACAAAACTGCAGGACTTATTGCTTGGGTCTGAGCAGAATGAGGGAAAAGAAGGAGTGAAAGGTAGACTTCCAAGTTTCTGGCCAGAATGAATGGAGAAGTTACGTTGGCAGAAACTTTGGTACAGAATACAGGGGGAGGACTTCAGTTTTCACATTTTGAATTTGAGGTGCATTGGATATTGAGGAAGAAATGTCTAGTTAGTGGTTGACTGTAAGTTTGAAGCTCAAGAGTGAAGATGGGGCTGGAGGTTGGGATTTTTTGATCCTTAGTATGTGGGTGCTAATGAGACTAATGCAGGACCTTTAAGGCAACTTATTATAATGTACAGACATTCTTTCCAGGGACAGCAAATTACCTCAATGAACTTGTATTGGGCATAAGTTCTGTAGCCTGTCCCTTGTGGTACATTAAAACTTCAGATGGTTGGGGTGCCTGGGTGGCTCAGTTGTTAAGCATCTGCCTTTGGCTCAGGTCATGATCCTGGGGTCCTGCGATCGAGCCCCGCATCGGGCTCCTTGCTCAGCCGGGAGCCTGCTTCTCCCTCTTCTGCTTCCCCTGCTTGTGTTCCCTCTCTAGCTGTCTCTCTCTCTGTCAAATAAATAAAATCTTTAAAAAAAAACACAACAAAACTTCAGATGGTTGAAGGGCAGGGGAGGGCTTGCTAGGCAAGTTAATAGACAATTTAATAATCTTAATAGTACATTCCAGCCATTGCCAGGCACCAAGGTCACCTTACACCAGCTCCATGCTCCTTGATCCCTGAGGCCTCTAGCATATATTTTTATAGTATAGAGAACCCCATTTTCTCTAACATGAATCTTCAGCCTCCCACATTTCATTCTCCACCTTTTCATCTAAGCAGTGTAGGTGCTTATAAAATATGGACCTCTCTGCCTTTCTCCTGCTTCTTCCAAGTACACAGCACTTTCCATCTTTTCTGTTCCCTCACTTGCCAGTTCAGTGACTTGCTCTGGCTCATGAGCTTTGTAATTGGCACAGGACAAATTTATGTCTCAGCAAACTTACAAATTACTGCATGTAATGGATTTTTGGGATCCTTTATAAATAATTGAAACCGTGAATGTTAAATTCTTGAATGCCAAGGGTCTACTGAGTATCAATATTTCATGAAGTTCCATAAAGGATATTATGAATTCCAGCTTTTGTGCCTCTTAAAATATATTTGAGAACACCTGATCCATAGTATTGATATCTGTGACTTTATCATTCCTTTCTCTTTTAGAATAAATTAGTGTGTTTAACATATTCTTTGTGAAGATTTAAAAAAAAACAATAGAGGGAGTTGAAATAATGTTAAACATGTCTTATCTTTTATTTTCTTTGGTTTATTTTCTATTTTTTAAATGGCAAAAAAATGCATGCTGTTATCAAAAAATAGAATGTTAGAGCATGTGGAGTATAAAGTGGAAATCTTGATTTGCCTTATCCTTCAATCCCATTGGCCTTACTAATATTTTGGTTTGTATCCTTCTAAACCTTTTTGTTTGAATTTATACAAGTAAAAACATACATAGGTAGACAGGGTTTTTTTTTTTTTTTTAAAGCTAAATGGAATCATTGTGTGTGTGTGTGTGTATGTAAAATTCTTGTTTAATTAAAAAAATTCTTATATGAAGAGAGAGATCTATTCATTTTCAACCTTTGCATAGTGTTTCTTGGTAAGAATGGATTCTAATTTATTTAACTGCTTCCGTAGTTGTGTCCCTTTTTTCCCTATAATAATTGGCAGGATGTTGAGTGGGATTTTTTTTACCCTATTATCCCAAAACTGCTACTGAGGCCCAAAGCTGGGGACAAAAGTACTAAGTATAAGTATCTCATGATTGAAAGGACCCCCCAGCAGTGAGAGTCAAGCCTTTCCCTGTGAGGCTTATTGAAAAGTGTAAGAAGGGTTCACCATTCCTACCACCAGGCTTTGTATAAAGAAACCTGAGAGGCCAGAAGATTTTAAGGTTTGGGGGAGTGCTCTGTTTGTGGGGAGACGTTATGTTCTCTCTTTTTAAAACCAAGAGAGAGGCACTCCAAGACAATTGACTGTGGAGTTTAGGGATGTCAACAGGAACAAGAGACTGGCATTTTATTGGACATTTGCTTAGCCAAGGGATTGCTAACCTGCCCTGTTTCTACCTAAACAGGGAAAAAGAAAATTGGTGAGTTGACCCAGTGAGTACCTGCCAAGAGGGGAGGTGGGTCAGGATTGCCCCATTCCCACCCCAGAGTTCCAGTCCCTGGCATGTGTCAGTTGGTCCTATAGTGGAGGGAGATGAGATTGGGGTGTAATTGAGCAGCTTGGGAGAAAAGAGTATGTGTTTTAGAGAGGTGTGGCATGAATACCACTGAGGGTTAGCTCCAAGAGGTAGCCAAATTGCTTTTCCCATCGGTTGTTTATTAGTATACAAGAAACATGGTAAGAGCTAGGTTCCTTTTGCAAGGTCTTCAGTCAGTTTGGATAGCCTTTTAAAGTTACGTGCTCTGTTTTTTAAAAAAGAAAAGACTATCGGGGCACCTGGGTCGCTCAATCGGCTAAGCGTCTGCCTTCGGCTCAGGTCATGATCTCAGGGTCCTGGGATTGAGCCCCACTTTGGGCTCCCTGCTCAGCAGGGTGTCTGCTTCTCCCTCTCCTTCTGACCCTACCCCCTACCCCCGCACATGTTCTCTCACTCTCAAATAAATAAATAAATCTTTAAAAAGACTGTCAAAACATTTAAGTAATTAGTCCCAAAGAAGTCATGCTAATTAGTATCTTCTCAGGAAATGTGAACCATTGGATATTAAGTGATATCAACACTAGCTTTCTCCAGATGGCAGCCAGCATATACGAGTCCTCGGTTAAAAATGTTTTGCTTTTTTTAAATTTTGTTTTATTTTATTATGTTATGTTAGTCACCATACAATACATCATTAGTTTTTGATGTAGAGATTCACGATTCATTGTTTTCATATAACACCCAGTGCTCCATGCAGTACGTGCCCTCCTTAATACCCATCACCGGACTAACCCATCCCCCCACCCCCCTCCCCTCTAGAACCGTCAGTTTGTTTCTCGGAGTCCATAGTCTGTCATGGTTTGTCTCCCCCTCCAATTCCCCTCCCCCCATTTAAACCTTCATATATACCTGTTAGGTTGTTGGCACATCCTAGTAGTGGTTACCAGGAGGACTGAGGTTTATCTGAGCTATGTTTCCACTCCACAGGAAGTTAACTAATTAAGAAGTCATTTTTAATAGGATACGAATAGGCTTACTGTTTGTCCTGGTGGTAAGTACAGATTAAAAAGGTTCTGCAGTGCTAATGAGAATGTTTACTTGGTTCAAAACACCTTTCTGATTAAAATGAAACTTTTATTCAAACCACTTCAAAGGAATCATATTTCTGAGTTTGTCATAACACAGCTTCATCCAAGTTTTTCTATGTGAGGGAGGAGCAATTTTACCATTCAGCTAAAGGGAAAAAGTCATGATTATATTTAGAAGGTAGAAATAAAGTATTGCAGTAACAGAAATTATAAAGACAGTGCAAGTTAAGAGCATGACACATTATTGAATGGGAAATTTAAAAGACTAGTAGTTTTTTGGGGAAAGATTACATTCAATGGAAACAAAGTTGTATTCGCTTATGTTTCATTTGTATTTTTCTGGTTCTTTTTCAGTGAATGTTTGATGTGATTGTAAAGGTTTGATACAGCTATATATTTTCTTTTTTTTTCTTCTTTTCTTTTTTAAAGATTCTCTTTTTTTAAAGTAATCTCTACACCCAACATGGGGCTCAAACTCTCAGCCCCAAGATCAAGAGTCACATGCTCTTCTGACTCAGCCAGCCAGGCACCCCTGTATATTCTTTTTCTAATAACTGTAGATTGTTTTAAAGTTACCAAATTACAGATACGGAAAATGGCATTTTTAATAACTTTAAAATGTGAATCTTAAAGTTTTAAAAACATATATATTGAATGAATCTTGCAGTTTCACACCTTTTTACTTAAGTTTACATATTTCTTTTAAAACATATTTATTTGTAATATCTTTTTTCTGATTTGTCTTTGTAGGCAATGCCAAAGTCATGTTCTGCAATCTCGTTAAGTAATGTAGAGGTGAATGATATGAAGGCTAGTATACAGAGAAATGAAATCCCAATAGAGGAACTTGGTAAGGTTCCTGAACATAAAAGTATTGTGAAAGGAACACAAAGTAAAGAAGGTGAGGAGATGAGCTGTTCTGAGAGTCACTTGAGTGCCCAGGACAAGTCCTTTCATGAGGAGTCTCAAGGATCTCCTCCTGAGTCCAGCTCTGATCTCTCCAATCTTGAAACTTTGCATGCAAAGGCAACTGACTCAGTTGCACAAGGTTCTGAAGAAAACAAGATCAAGAGGACATCTTGCATGTATGGGGCAAGCTGCTACAGGTAAAATGAAATTACAGGTAGCACAGAATTCTGTTATTTCTGTAGGAGGTAGCTATGTAGTATATGTGTATTAAAAGCCTAGTAAAACACATTGGCCTAAAGGTTAAGAGCTTTGTTATGTTTCTACTTGTTTACACTTTCTCAGTATTCAGTCCTGCAAATCTTGCTAGAGGCTTTCAAGATACAGTGGGGAAATTAAATGTTTCATATGTAGACATACTGATTAATGCAAGGACATGAACTAGGGAATCCAGACTTGAGAATTGAATCACCCAGACCTAAATGTCTACTTATTTAATGTCTTATTTAGGTATTAGAAAGATGGCCTCATAAATAGTTGTAGTATATAATTTAACTCTCAAGAGAATTGTAAGTTGTGTTTAAGGCATCTTACTATACTTGTGCTTCTCCTTTATATTTTTCTAATTGTGCTTTTGAATCACCAAGATGCTTTTATTTTGCTACCGTGAGGGTTCTGTACCAACCAGATGTCATGAGCTTTATTTTTAACAATGTAACACATTGGTTCAATTTCTGGAATAATTAGATGTGTATTGCTTGGTTTCCTGCTATATCCTATTAATTATTTTTTGTAGTATATCTAGAACTCTAGTATACCCTATTAATTATTTTTTCTGACAGTATATTTGCCACCCTCATAGGAAGAATCCTGTTCATTTTCAACACTTCAGTCACCCTGGTGATAGTGATTATGGAGGTGTACAAGTCATGTGTCAAGATGAGGCTGATGACCGACCTGAATGTCCCTATGGAGCATCTTGTTATAGGTATGTACACCTGAAATGTTAGGTTGTCCTCCTTTTCTCAATCTCTGTTGTATATTCAGAAGAAATTGCAGGCAGCTTCTCACTTCAAGCCTTTTAGTCTTTAAACTTCCATAGATAGTAGGTTTTCATTTTGTTAATAAGATTATAATGTTTCTTTTAGATAATTATAAACTGTTGAGTTAACCTTGTAAATGCCTGATATTGTTCCTCATTTCTAACTTTCCAAAATGCAAATCAGATAACTGAAAAGCTGTCGATGCTATCCCTTGTACACTCTATCCAGACTCCTTAGTGTGACATAAATCAATTCAGGACGTTATCTCTGCTTTCCTCAACTCTTACCACTCTGCCATTCTTGCCAACACATGAAACTTGATCCTAAAAGAAGAGTGCCTTCTCCTCTTTCCTTTCATAGAATCTTTTGCCTGTCTGTATCTTGCACAGTAGAATTTATCTTACGAGATTGTGTTTGTTTCTTTACTGGAATGGCATCTCCTCTAGACAGTGAGTTTCTTGACAGCAAGGACTGTTTTATCCTTGTATCTGCAACTTTGTTCAATGAATGAATGAACTTGAAATAAATCAAACTACCAAGCAAAGAAGTGATTCCAATCTTAGAGAGCTTTAATTCCAGACAGCCATCTTTCTTAGATAAATTTGGAACAGTTTACCGAAGCTACTGGTCTGTTTGAAGTTGTCACTATTTCTATGATTGTGGTTTTCAGTAAGAAGGCAGCATAATCTTCTGAGCTTGGAAAGAAAAATCGAAAAAAGAAAAAAGCCCTACCTTGTGCCAGAACACCTGTGAGGCCAGTTATCTCCCCGCCAGTCCCTCTGTTTCTATTTTGTTTGCCCTTCGAGTGCCCTTGACGCTGTTCTTTAGAAAGAGAGGTCAGAGAGAGACTGCGCTTCCTCGAAGCATCCTGAATGCGATCCTGCAAACAGTTCTGGCTCTCGCTTCTAGCAGCTGAGGTGCCTCCATACCTGGCTTGGCTTCCAGGCTCGGCTGAGCTGCAGGCCTACGGTTTCCAAACCTGGTCAACCGTCGGAATCGCAGCAGGGAGCAAAAAAATAAAAGGGGGGTGGTGCCTGGGTGGCTCAGTCGTTAAGTGTCTGCCTTCGGCTCAGGTCATGATCCCAGGGTCCTGGGATCGAGCCCCACATGGGGCTCCCTGCTCCGCGGGAAGCCTGCTTCTCCCTTTCCTACTCCCCCTGCTTGTGTTCCCTCTCTTACTGTGTCTCTCTCTGTCAAATAAATATATTTAAAAAAATCTTTAAAAAAGAATTATTTGAAAATTGCTATGTTTCATTCCAGCAGAACATCTTGTAGACCTATGCATATACAGGTGACATATTCATGAAAAAGGGGCGTTGCAGGCATTGATAAAAGTATGAATTTTTAAAACTAATTTTATTGAGGTAAGGGTATCTATCTGGAGAAGGAAAATTGGAACCTTATTTCATACCATAGTCAAAAACTGGATTCCAGATGGATCATAGAACTAAACGTGAAAGGAAAAAAACAATAAAGCTTTAAAGATATGTATAAGAATATTATTTCATGATCCCAGACTAGGAATTGTTTTTTAGAACAAGATATAAAAAGCAATAGCTAATATGGAAAGCATTTAATTATTTGACTACATTAAAATTAAGATTTTTTTATACATCAGTAGACACTATTAAGAGAGTGAAGATAAACTACAGGGTGAGAAAAAAGATTGCAACCACATAACTGACAGTAGGCATATATCCAGAATACAGAAAGAAGACTTACGAATTGCTGTTGGTTTTCTCTTAGTGACATGTACAGGCTTTTTGTCCAAAAGGAAATGGTGAATTTCCTTAAGGTGAATAAACTTATGAAAAAGTACTCAGTATCATTATTAATTAGGAAAATTTCACACACATACACCCCCTTGAAGTAACTAATTCCTTGCTCCCGTTTATTCATTCATCACATATTATCCAAAGAATCTTCAAATGCCAAGTACCGATGAAACAATGTTGAGTGAGTTTACTTGCAGAACAAATGTGTGTGTCTCTCTCTCTATCTTTTTAAAATAAGACAGCCTTTCACAGCTCGTGGCACAATGGCCATATACCTTTTCATTTTTAGGGAATATTTTAGGGAACTTTTGTAATGCAGAATTTTATACATCTACACAAGTGGGGTTAATGTAGAACAAGTTCCAATGAAGCCATAACTCATTTTCAAGTCTTGGCCAGTATTGTTTCATCTATACTTCCCTTTCTTCCACCTGCTACCTCTACGCCTAGATTATTTTGAAGTAAACCCTTGATATTGTATCTTTTCATCCCATTTTATTCATGGGTATCACTAAAAGATAAAGACTATAAAAATATGCTATGACACCATTATTAAACAAATATCATTTAGATCCTGTCAGGCATCCCAGTCCTCTTATAGTTGCATTTTCTTCCTTTCTTTCTCCCTTTCTCTTTTTCTTTCTTTCTTTCTTTCATTCTCTCTCTCTCTCTTCCTTTAAAAATTTTTTTCTTTGAATTAGGATCCAGTTAAGGTCCATATATGGCAAAAGGTGGCCATGCTTCTTAAGTTATTTAATCAATAGGTTCCTCTTCATTTTTTTTTCTTGCAATATATTTGTTGAAGAAAGCAATCATTTGTTCTGAGGAGTGTCTGATTGTCTGGATTTTGCTAACTGCATTACCAAATTGTCATTCAGTATGTTCTACTGTATTTCCTAATAATTGGTAATTAGAACTAGAGACCTGATCAGATATCATTTCTAAAAATTGTAAAAGTTGTCTGGTCTTACGAATATCATGTCCCTCTTAGTCACTAAAATGCTTCTTGCTGTAAAGTCTACTTTGTCTAATATTTACAAATATTTAGGGATTGCTCTAGATATACTGTTATTATTGATTTATAGTTATTTTCATGTGGTCATATAACATTTTTTAGAATTTAAAATTTATTGAGATTTGGTTTTGGTCCAGCAGATGGTCTATTTTTGTTGGGACATACTAGGTGCACTGAAATATATATTCTGTGATTTGGGGAATAAGGTTCTGTAGTTGTCAATTTGGGCAGATAGTTTTAGTGTGGTTCATATATTTATTATCTTTGCTGATTTTTTTCTGTAGTTGTTCTATTAGTCACTGAGAAAAGGATGTGAGACTCTCCACTGTAATTGTAGGTTTGTCTATTTCTTCTCTTAATTCTGTCAGTTTTTCTTAATGCACCAACTGTGGTCTTTCCTCAGTGGAAAAGCCTTAAAAATGGGAAACTCACTCAGAGCTGCTCTCTTTTTCCCTGTGTGGACTCCTTTCTGGTTTTTGCCTGCTTTTGGTAGCTATCCATTTCCTTAAGATTATTGTTTTTATACTTTTAACAGAGTATAATTGTTTCCTGTGGGAGGTTTGGTCTGATACATCTCCTCTGTCATTACCAGAAGTAGAACTCCTATTTTGTGTGATATAATACAGCTGCTCCAGATTCTGTTGGTTAGTGTTTGTGTGATAATATTTTTCATCCTTCTATTTTCAACTTCTGTCCTTATATTTAAAGCATGTCTCTTACAAATGGCATATAATTGGTTTACTGGTTTTATTTTTACTTTTGTTTTTTTCTTATTTTTTTTTTTAGATTTTATTTATTTATTTGGCAGAGAGAGACACAGCAAGAGAGGGAACACAAGCAGGGGGAGCGGGAGAGGGAGAAGTAGGCCTCCCGCGGATCAGGGAACCTGATGCGGGGCTTGATCCCAGGACCCTGGGATCATGACCTGAGCCGAAGGCAGACGCTTAATGCCTGAGCCACCCAGGCGCCCCATTGGTTTTATTTTTAATCCAGCCTGATAGTCTGCTTTTTCAATGGATTGTTTAGTCAATTATATTTAATACAATTACTGATATTTTTAAGTTTAATTTTGCCATTTTGCTCTTTGTTTTCTATTTGTCCCATATATTCCTTGTTCCTTTATTCTTTTTCTGACCTCTTTTGGATTAAGCAAATGATGTCATTCCATTTTTTTCTCCTCCATTAATTTTTTATTTATAAATTCTTTTTTTTCAGTAGTTACATTTGACTTTAATAGGCATCACTGACTTACTACAGTCTACCATACTGTGATTCTTTTACCACTTCTGAAACAGAACAGTAATCTTTTATCAGTTTAAGTCCATTTACTTCCTCCTCTGCCCTTTTAAAAAAATATTGCTGTCACAATTTTTACCTTTACACATGTTAACTTGTAAGGCATTGCTCTTGTTTTCTTAAATTTTAAGCATCAGCATTCTCTTATATTTATTGACACATTTATCATTTTGGGTGGCCTTCTTTTATTTCTGAAGTTTTATCCTTTAATCTGGGATCATTTTCTTAGTCTTAGGAACGTCTTTTAGTATTTCTCTAGTGAAAATCTTGTGGGAAAGGATTTTTTCAGCTTTTATGTGTCTGAATATGTCCTGAATGATCGATTGCTTGGTGGCTCTTTTCACTGGGTGTAGAATTCTAGCTTGGCACCTTTGCTTTTTTTTTTTTTTATCACTTTAAAGACATTCCATTGACTCTTGCATCCATAGTTTCTGTTGAAAGTTACTTGTTTGTCTTATTGTTGCTTTGAAATTAACATGGCTTTCCTCTGGCCATTTTTAAGATTTTTATCATTGCTTTTTTTTTTTTTTTTTAAGGTAAACTCGACCCTAAACATGGGGCTCAAACTCACGACCCCAAGATTAAGAGTCTCATGTTCTACCAACTGAGCCAGCCAGGTGCCCCTCATTTCTTTTACTTTCAACAGTTTAACTAACATGTGTTTAGGTATGATTTTTTTTGACATTCATCCTGTTTGGGGTTCATTGAGCTTTTTTGCAGGTTGTTGTCTTTGTTAGTTTGAGGAGATTGCTTAGCTATTATCTCATCTCTCAGATATCGTTCTCCCCCATTCTATGTCTTCCCTCATTCTTCTCAAATTAACCATGTTAAGTCTTTTGACTATGTCCTATATGTCTCT